CATACACACTGACACATGCAGATAAAAAAACACTGCCACACGTGCAGATGCACATACAGACTACACACACACACACACATACACACACACACACAGAGAGGTACACACTACACTATACACACTACACAGATACACACAGAGATGCACACTACACACATCCTACAGGAGAGTCAGTGGGGGATAATAGCCCTGCCAGGAGTGTGCTGTAATAGCCCTGTTGGGGGCATGAGTGGTAGTGGGGAGATAATGCCCTGCTGGGGGTTGGAAAGGCAGTGGTGCACACTACACACATACTACACAAATACACACACACTCACACACTACACACAGAGATATACAATACACAGAGATACACACACAGATACACTATAAACACATGCAGTTACACACACTACACACACACACACACACACACACTCATGCACTACATACAGATACACACTACACACAGAGATGCACAGACACTACACAGATGCACAGACACTATACACGTGCACTCACAGATACATACACTACACACACGGGTACACACACAGATACACAGACTACATGCACACTGGTAAACACACACAGATACACAAACATTAAAAAATTAAGCAACACTTCGGTTTCCTACCTTCTGCTGGCTGTGACTGGAGGGAGTTGGGAGCCTGCTCTCACAATCCGGCCACATCCTTACGGCTCACTCCTCCCACGTGGCTGTGTCAGTGAGCTGGGTGGAAGTGACAGCCTCTCACTTCCTACCAGCTGTCCCCTCGGATAGAAGGGGCTTCTAAAGTGTCGCAGTGCACGACTGGGCCCCTCATTGCACATGACCCTCACACAGGTTCCCAACCCGTGCGGTGCAGCTGCACCGCCGCCACGGGTTGGGAACTCCTGTGTTAGATGATAACGGGGTGGCAAAATGCCGCCCCTGTAAGAGCGCCACCTGGAGCCGTGTCTCCACCGCGGTCTATGGACGGGCAGGCTCTGGGCTAATGGCACTGTCAGGGACAGAGAGAGTTAGGGGAGTGGTGATAACCCTGCTGGGGGATAAATTTCATGAACCCTGTGTATTGTAAGAGTACTAATCTTCTTCACTCCATCTGCAGAGTATAAGGGAATATACCCTACTTCTAAGAAGGAGGGATAATCAGAACTAAAACTAACCTTTAGGCCCATGCAATTTTTCTTCAAGTAGGGTGAAAAAAATAAAAAACATGGTACTGTGATAATTCATATTTGCACTGCTATTAAAGATAAAGTCTCATATAAACCATTTTCTTTTAGTATTTGAAAATATTTCAATAAAGAATTTTTTTTAACCCCTTAAGGACCAAACTTCTGGAATAAAAGGGAATCATGACATGTCACACATGTCATGTGTCCTTAAGGGGTTAAAAAAAAAAAAAAAGCCTGGTTCAAGATAGAAGTATTTAGATGTAGAAGAAACCCTTCTTGAAGGAAGAAGCAGCAGATGAGAAGGAGGCATGTACAAAGTTTGGGACAGGGGAAAGGAGGGATATAAGAAACCTTACCAGATGTGTTGGGTAGGACAGCTGGAAACCCTGCTGAAATGGGTAAACATTAGCTGCAAATGCATTTCTGAGTCTTGTTTGAGAATTTATTCTCAATGAGATGACCTAATGCAGAAAATATTAATATTTTTGTGTAATTAGCCAAATTAAAATTGACCAGTATTTTTTATGACCTAGTTCTCCGTTACAAATCAATAAATCACCTTGTGTTATACATTATTAGTTCTGTTGTGTAAATGAAAAGTGATGGCGGGAGGTGGAAGTTTGGAATGTAATGTTATAACATGTTTGTTAGTCCACCCATTGTAAAGCGCTACTGAATTTGTTGGCGCTATATAAATATCATAATAATAAAGAGGAGAATGTCAATCCCTCTGATTCATTTATTATATTCCCATTCCTGATTTAGATGGATAAAGGTCAGACTGGTGAAGAGATGACACAGGGATCAGTAACGGGTCGGGATTGGTTGGCCCTGCAGCGGGAGCTGCAAATCTCATTGGATGCTCAGAAGAGACAGGCTGTACTTGTAGAAAAACTTCAGGCAAAGGTGATTTCAGGGTGCCCGTTGCACCCCATTGTGTGTGTGTGTGTAGGCATTAGTATTCAATTGTATTCACTAAACGTAATTATGAAAAAAATAACAGATGCATTGTAAGATATAGATAAAAAGATTTAAGGTGGGAAATAGCGGAGTTGGAGGATTGTTGGCCTCAAATTTACAATTCTCTTGTCAATTTTCCTCAATTCCAATTTTACCAAATAAATTCCATTGAACATTTGTAATGTGGTGTCTATGTGGTCACAGTGTGATATTTATTTACTAAACTGGTAATGAATGGACAAGGGAATATACAATATTAGGCCAAAATAGTAAAATTAGAAAAACAAATCTTAACAAAGTATGTGGTGCACTGTGTTACTGTTATGCTGTGAATTTTATATATATATATATATATATATATATATATATATATATATATATATTATTATTATTATTGAATGTCTGTGTGTGTTTGGGATACTGTATATGCACACTGTATCTCACTTCATTTTGTGTCTATCACACTGTGTGGGATACTATATATGCTAGCTTTATATATGATACATTATGGTGTCTGTCACGCTGTGTGTTTGTGTTGATATATATGCACACTGTGTGTCAAGTTTCTAATGCTGTATATTGCCATTGTGTGTATATCATCTTGATGTGTCTCTCTCCACAGGTTGTCGAGTACAGGAACCGATTCCAGGAACTGCAGCAGAGTCAAGAATGGAGCCTGGTATTATTTATTTATAAGAAAAATTCAAAGTCACACACATATAGTGGATGTTCTTGTTCTGAATGCAAAGTATTACCAGGGCAGCTTACAAGATGATATCTTCTACAAGGGATTTCATGGCTGTGTCCATAAGCTGAATTAAGAAGCAGCACAGTGAACTATGTGATCACAGTAGTCGGGAAAAATAGAGAGAAGAGCATAGCAGGCCAGAAGGGAAAGCATTGTCTGAGAGTTCTTAAATTTTTAGGTAAGGCACTCCTCACATTGCATAATTTCAAAATGTTGCTTTGTTTTGTTTAAAACCCAGAGCCGAGAAGGGTTGGAGCTGGAACGAGCTCTGCAGAGGCTGGAAGAAGAACAGCACAGGTAAACTGGGGTAGACGGATTTTTCCAAAACCAGCACTCAAGTTTGCATAGCCCTTTCTTATATGTTTAGAAAGGTATCTGTATAACAATATATAAACCACTAACTGCAGGTGTGAGAGTCTGGCTGTGCTTAACTCCCTGCTCAGGGAAGACCTGGGTGAC